CGTCAGATATTGGCCAGATGCGTGGGCCATCGAAAGAGGCCAAGGGAATCAATGAGACTTGTCAACCAGGAAGTTCAGGTAAGTACTTGGGAAGCTAGGGCAAATGGCAGACAACGAAGGAATGATTTTCCTCCCTCTAAGGTAGAACCCGAACATAACATCGAAGAGCGAGTTGGCTAGACGTCGTCAGCTCATTCTCAAGGCTCAATCTGATGATGAAGTCCAATCACTTGATCCGTCCATGCATGCACGTCAACAGATGACGCCACTCGGGTTGTCCAACGTCAGCCTACACAGCTTGTAGCGGTACAATCGTCCCGCCCAGTGAATCCTACTATTTCTCAAAGGGGAATATGGGGGAAGGGGAGTATTTCCCTCAATTTCCGAATGGCATGATAGCTGAGAACAAGCTGTGGATATCAGCTAAGCAAGCAGCTACGGCTCAAAGAAGCATTCGCACCATGGGTGTTCGGGGAAAGAGGAACGTGCAGAAGTTCAGGCGTAATGAGGTAGGGGATACCCCGATCCAAGATCATGGTGATGAGCCGGAGGCCGATTCTGAGGCTGAACCGCTGGTGCTTAACTTGGATGATGTCCAGTCTGATAACCTGGAGTCAGAGGATTCGAAAGTGACACTATCTACGGAGGATAACAATCTTTATGAGTTAAAAAGACGTGTTCCCATAAAAACAAAAACATGGGACGTCAGGCTAAGTCAGGGCGGGTGAGTCAAGTGGTTAAGGCTTTCGAAACCAGGCTAGTTATGGATGACTCCGGTTTGGGTAAAGGATTCCGCAAGCTTACGTACCCCACGTTGAAGAAGAGGCTAGAGATGGTGGAAGCTAAGAATGAGGCGGTGCTGCATGATCTCAATGAATGTGAAACTAAATTTTTTTTTTATCCTGGTGTTGGGGGTAAAACGTGCTCTTGATGAAATTAATGGTGAAGTTGCCGAGACCCCCACTCCAAAAAAACAATTTGTGGGAGAGAATGATGGTACTGATAAGGTGGAGGAAGCCAGCCTTGAATGGCCCCACCCGGATAAATGAGGCTGATGGCTTGAAATGTGAGGGGAATTCGACCATCCCTCACATTCCAAACAGTAGTAGGTTTAATTCGCTCGAATAAACCGGACCTTGTCTTCCTATCGGAAACAGGATCGAGCCAGAGAGTAGTTTCCCCTCTTATGCGGGGTTTGGGTTTTGGGATTTCTAAATGTTTTTTTGTTGATGTTATTAATGCATCGAGTGGATTAATTGCAGGGATGGGCAACCGGTTCGGTAAACCCGAATCGAACCGAATTAAACCAAACTGAAACCGAATTAATGCTATTCGGTTCGGAATTAGGAAGGAAAATATGGATAGTTTGGAAATCAGGGTTCTTTCAACCGAACCGAATTTCCGCCCGACAAACCGAAATACTATAATTGCAAGCTCCAAATGGTGGATTTTTATGTTTATAGTTGTTTTTAGACTTAAATATTTGAAATGTTTTATGACTTATGTGTTAAAAATTTTGATTTTATCATTGATGATGGATATAATTGCATATTTATTGTTTATGTTACGGGTGAAAAATAATTTAAAAGTGAGAAGATACAAGTAGCTTCACAAATTCGGTTTTGTGTGGAAAACCGATCCGAACCGAATTATAATTCAGTTCGAATTCGGTTTGAGATTAGGGAAAATTCGGGGACCCGGTATTCATAATTTTGGTTCGGTCGAAACCGAACCGACCGAATGCCCACCCCTAGTTAGTTGTAGCTTAGTCCCCTGGAGTTGAGGCTTGAAGCTGTTTTTCCATTCCAATTTTGTTGTCTGTGTTCGTATTAATGGAAGTGATTTTTCGTATGTGGTGTCTTTTGTTTATATCTGCTGTAATGATTCGATAAGAACCACCCAACTAGCTCATCTTCGAAGTATTTGAAAAAAAATCCAATTACCCTATGCGGTAATCGGTGATTTCAATACCACATACAAGCGAGTGAAAAGGATGGAGGGAATCAGTGGAATGTAGCCCAGTCATTTTCCCTCCGTACTTTTGTTATGGAGCTTGGTCTCCATGATCCTGGGTACCAAGACGATCCTTTAACTTGGACAAATAAACGTATGAGGGTTGCATGTATCCGTGAAAGGCTTAATAGGGCTCTCTGTTCCCAGGGTTGGATTGATAGATACTCTGATACTCTGGTCAAACATTTCACGGATTAGGGCTCTGATCATAGAGCTTTGCTGTTATCAGATAAACCCTATGTGAGGAATAGTCGGCCACTTTTCCGTTTTGATGCTTGTTGGGCTGATAATCTCGAAGTCAAGGCCTTGGTGACTTATGTTTGGCAATTGAAAATCCATGGAACTCCAATGTACCGAATTTGGGAGAGACTTAAGCAGATTCACCATCTTCTTTAATGATTGGAGTAGGGCGGGTACTACTAACTCTCTCCAGAACATTAGAACCCCACAAAGTGAAATTGATCGAGTTAAGTCCGTGCACCCTATCGACTGGGATGATGTGAGGGAGTTGGAGACCGAATTGTATAGGCAATGGGAAGTGGAGGAGGTCTATTGGCAACAAAAGTCAAGGGTCCATTAGCTAAAGAAGGGTGACAAGAATACCTCATATTTCCATACGGTTACGAGGGCCCACAGTAAACAACATTTGTGTTTGGCTTGCGAGATAATAATGAGGAATGGGTTATTGAAGAGAGTGGTAAGGTAGACATTGCCATAGTTTCTATCAACATCTCTTTACCTTGGGAAATCAGGTGTTGAACTTAGAAGAGCGGGTGGCTAATCTGCCGATTGCTTTAGCAAGAATATCCGCTCCGATTTGTGATATGCACAGAGGGTTTTGCGGCCCTCCTTCGTCAAGCTATATCCAATGGGAAATTAGAAGGGGTCAAAGTTTTCCCTAGAGCGCCTTGGATCTCGCATATGTATTTTTCATATGATTCTTATTTACTTCTTCGAGGATCTCTACAAGAATGTGAGAATTTAATTGAGGTTTTAAATGAATATGAAGAGCTCAGTGGGCAAAGGGTCAATTTGGATAAATCGGCTGTTTTCTTTAGCAAGAATATGGCTCTACTTGATCAAGAGTTCCTAGCTCAAGTTTTGAGTGTGGGGGCTGTGGAAGTCTAGGATAAATACCTAGGGCTGCCTACACTCATAGCTCAATAAAAAATGGCAACATTTCGATACTTGGAGGAAAAACTGTTAGATCGTCTTGAGGGATGGAAGCAACGGACTTTGTCGTGGGCAGCTAAGGAGACTTTGATCAAATTAATTGCCCTCGCTCTGCCACTTCATGTTATGTCATGTTTCAAGCTGCTGCTATCGCTCTGTCGTCTCCTAGAAAGATATGTGGCTAGGTTTTGGTGGGGTGTTCAGGGCGGTCAAGGTAGGATATGGAGGATGTCCTGTCAAAATATGTGTCGGAGCAAGCATGAATGGGGAATGTGTTTTCGCCATTTTGAACATTTTAATCAGGCTCTCCTGGCAAAGATCGAATGACGTATCCTTCAAGAGCCCCAATAACTTTTAGCCCAAGTTTATAAAGGGAAATATTTTCCAAATGGGAATTTTCTCAATGTTTCTGCTCGTTCTCACCCGTCTTGAGGATGGCAGAGTGTCCTTTATGGCCGAGTTTATTGGCGAGAGGTCTTCATTGGCAGATTGGGAATGGACAGACTGCTGCTCTGCTCCACTCCAATTGAATTCCTCGTTTACATCCCCATGCTCCTACTTATAACCCTCGAATTCTACCGATCGATGTTGACATTCCGGTAGCAGAAGTTCTTTACCACGGGGGTGGCCGATGGTGTGACAAAAAACTCAGTCAGCGGTTTGACCCAGCCACTTGTCGTTCCATCAAAGAAATTCCTTTGCCCCATCAGGGGATGGAAGATAGATTAATATGACATGGTTTGGCCGACGAGGTTTTTACTGTCAAGTTTGCCTACCATTTTGCGGTCCTGTTAATAAGGAGGGTGGTAGATGGAGATCCATGGCTAGTTGGATGGATAGACCCAGCTGGATTAAATTGTGCAAGGCTAATATTCCCCCCAAATTGAAAGTGTTTGTCTGGCAAATCTTCAACATAATCATGCCAACATCGGAAGCCCTAATTGAGAAGGATGTTGAGGTGCTTCCTCGATGTCCGGTTTGTTGAGCTGAATATGAAATGATGGAACATTTGTTTCTTGATTGCCCAGTGGCCTGGGCTCTATGGCATTATTCAGGACTTGAATATCTTGGTCAGGGCTTGACTTGCCATACTTTCCCACTCTTCTTGAAGAAGTTGATGTTACTCATAAATCAACCTTAGCTTTTCATGGTGGTAGTGGCCGTCCTTTGGCGGATCTGAAGATCCCAAAAATGGGCTGTCTTTGAGAGCAAACAGTTTGGGATCCCTACTCTAAAGGCGTCAATTCCACCAACAATATCAGGAGTGGATTAATCTAACTCAGGATCGGGATCACCAATTTTCCATCCAGATGCGGTGGTCTGTATGTGGGATGGGGCAACTAAAGTGGTTCTCATTCTGGGGAGGTCCTCCTGGCTAAAGGTGTGCAGATTTCAGGGATGGATGATCATATGGTTATTGAATTGCTCGTCCACTGGGAGGCTATTCTCTGGTGTATAAGCCTGAGTTTCACAGAGGTTAGGTTTGAGGGTGATGCTGAGGTGATAATCGACAGATTAATCACGCTTATACCCGTGATAACTGGATGGAGGTCATTCTCGAGGAGGTCGTGGAATGTTTTGCGACTCACAGCGGGCTTAGTGTACGATTTGTAGGTCAGTGTAGCAATAGGGTAGCTCATTTGATGGCTAGAAGGGACCTTTCTTTGTACCAGACTACGAGTCGTTTCTTTGATTTTCTTGTTTGGTTTAATTCAAGGGATGTAACTTACTCTTTTTTTATCAATATATCTGATTATTTTTTGTAAAAAAAAAAATGAATAAAATAAATATATTTTCAATTGTCCCAACACAACCACAGAAAACATAAATAAAAAGTAAACATACCATTAGCCAAGCCAGGGTTTAGTACAGAGTCCCGGTCTATTAGTTGACGTCAAATTCTCAATCAACCAAGGCTGCACCTAAATATCGTCCCCAAACAAATAAATTGCAATACATACAACCCCTCAAAAAAACCCAATCTCAAATGCACACCATCGTCACACCAATCACACCATTCGATGAAAAGTAAACAGATCTCAAAATGAGCCGCAAGTTGCAAAGGTGCTTAGAATCTGGCGATTGCTGCTGCAGCGAGGAGTACTCCCACGAGCATGAATCGAACAGAAGTTGTGGGGCTGGCGATGGTGGCATCAGACGTTGTTCCACCAGTGGTCGATGGGACTGTGTTGGTCCCAGTCGTTCCATCTCCTGAAGGTGATGCTGTCGGAGTAATCGCCGGTTCAGGTGTGTCATTGCTCGACTCTGTTGGCGCTGGTGATGTTGAACTCTCCGGCGGACTAGCTGTACTTCCCGGCGCATCGGCAGCTGAATTTTAAGAGTTTCTTTAGTACTACGAAGCAAGAATCAGGAAGAGTACCTTTACTTTATATACACAAGAATTAGGGAAATGTGTACCTTTACACTGGCTAACGGGTGGAGTCTGGACTTTACAAGCGCCAGGCAGGGCAAGAGCCAGAGTCTGGTTGATGGTCAGAAACGACGGGCCGCCGCCGTTGATCAAAGTGCAGAGGCACTGTGGTGTTACCTTGACGACGCCGCTGAGCTGGGAGCAGCAGGAAGCTGAAGGCGTGGTCGAATTCCCGGTGACGTAGGCGAGGCAAGGTGACAAGGAGGCGATGGTGTTGGTGCATGAAGTAGTACTGCCGCCTGGAGTTTGGGCCATGGCTGTGGTCAAAACCAGGGCAAACACTAGTAGTAGGATTCTGAGCGACATGATCAAATTACCCAATTTATAAAAGTTGCAGGGTTGCTGCTAATGGTGTTGGAGGTTTAATTGAGAGTGAAAGGGTTAGCTAGTGAGGAACAACTTGAGGGGAAAAGGAAATGCATATATAGAGACAGAGGTGACTAGAGAGTGGAAAAGGGTGGATGGAGAAGAGAGGGATTTGGTGGTGGTGTTTGGAATTTGTAGATCACCTACTTTAACTAGTATCAGTTGCTTAACGGAATACGTGTTGCTGCTTTTACTATTGTTTATTTGATTCTGATTCCAGAGCTAATCTGCGTTTCCTTGGTGCTTTTGGTCATGGGTCAATTCGTAATCATGGAATACTAATTTATGGATGTACCAAATACAAACGCAAAAGCTATACATCTCTGTCAATTCCCTATCTTTAATTATTTTAAAAACCTAACAATTAAACTAATTCCCAACTACCCTTAATTTGTATTGATTTTATGATTATATGATAAGTGTTGAAAGAGTCTTTCAGCTTTGGGTTACATCAAGAACAAGTTTACAAATCGAATATGCGATAAGTTTCTGAATGATTGTCTAGTATGTTATATAGAGAGAATTTTTTTTAACACTATAGATACCAAGTGCATTCTACAATTATTTCCGAATATGAAAACACATCATGGACTTTTTTAACCAGTACAAGTAAGGCATTTTCATATTTAGGATTTTATTTTTATTTTTATTTTATAAATTTTTTTTAAAAATGATACTCTTATGAAAAATTTCTGGTTCCGCCCTCTGCATCTGTCTACTTTACGGAATGGAGATCGCTCCACGATGCCACTTCCAAGAGTGCGAACTGGAATCTGATTGCCAGTCAATCGTCCGGCATTTGACAGGGAAGGAGGGACTGGGTCTTGAACTTGGGTCGGTCTGTGAAGAGCTAAAGGACGAGGCCCGGGATTTTGCGAAGATCGTATGGAGATACTCGGGCCGGGAAACAAACAAACAAACCGGTCCATACGATGAACCAATTTTTAAGAGGAGATTATCCAAACACTTTCTTTGATTATTTATTAATTATTAATTAAAGGGGTAAATGGTAAGGTTGTTCACTCTGTTTACTAAAAAAGATTCATATTTGATTACTAAAAGTTAGGGTGGCAAATGAACCGATCTAGGTCGAGTTTTATTCCAGTTTGAGTTCGGCTGTTTGATAAACAAGTTGTCGAGTCGAGATCGAGCTAGTTTGATTAATAAAATTTTGACTCGTACTGGATATATTCATTTTGTATGTCGATACATGTAATAACGCCAAGATGGAAAAAATAGTTAAGTTTTAAATATTAACTAGTCTCATGGTATGCTTTGTGGTATCATATTATTTAGTTAATTAATTTTAACTAATTAAAGTTATGTTATTTCATAGTATCACAACAATCTATGAAACATTTTTTTTTAAAATTAAATAAGACATATTTGCTCACATAATTTACGTGTTAAACTTCAGATAGTATGAGATATATAATTTAATTATCCCATTAATTATTAAAAGCAAACTCATATCTATTTGCTCATCGGTTCGTAAACGAGTTGGCTCTCTAGCCACAATGTTGAGTTGAACATCTCATAAGCTCTAAACTAGTGATCTCACAAGTTGAGCTCAACAAGCCACCGAGTCGAGCTAGCTAGCGAGCCCCGTGAGCTGCAGAAGGTTTAGCTCAAGCTCAGCTCTTTAGTAAACGAGTCGAGTTTCGAACGAGTTTTTCCCGAGTCGAATGTCGAGCCGCTCGTTAGCAGCTCGACTCATTTGCAGCCTTGCCAAAAATATTTAATTTCATTCATGGACACTAAGATTAGTTAAATGTTTCAATTTTGATCATTCTCTGTCGAATTCTGTTAACTTTTTCTTATGTGGCAGTCAACCGTCAAAGTTGACTGTTAACTAGTATCGTGGCAATTAAAAAAAATTCAATCATTTACAATTTCCAACACATTTTCACAATAAAACAGAAAAAAGGTTATAGGTATAATACGCCCCTCTACTTTTTATCAAACATGCTCCTCTACTTTTGTTTACATCAAACTTGCCCCTATACTTTGAAAAAATTATCAAACATGCCCTTTCGTTAAAATTTCCATTAAAAAAATGATCAACCACGGTTGAAATGAGATTCACACGTCCCGAAATGTACAAAATTGTGGGGGGGGGGGGGAATGTCAGTTTCCTCCCTCATTTATTTCTCTAGGTCTCGTTAAAGTGAAATTATTAGAGGTATTTGGCTAGATAAAAGAAACAAAACAATTCTGAAGTGAAATATTAGGAATATTTTAGACATTTGGGTTGCCCAAACCACGGTTCGCCCGTGGTTACAGTTTTTGAATGCAAATTTTAACATAAGGGCATGTTTGATTCTTTTTACAAAGTATAGGGGCATGTTTGATGTAAAAAAAATAGAGGCATGTTTGATAAAACTGCTTATTAGAGGGGCATATTATACCTATAAAAAATTATTATAATTACCAAATTGAAATTTAATCTTTCCGAGAGAAATACTTCAAGAACCCGCTCGCCCCTCCCAAAACTACCATCTCGCGGCGATGCTCAATCAAACGGATTTCACCCTAAGAAGTTTATAGAGCTTCTAGGGTTAGTAGTCGATTGAAGAAGTAGAGAGAGATCTAGAAATGGCGATGAATTGGAGCCAGAGTCGTAGAGTGGAAATCTGATCCACGTGCTTGTTTATACACTTGGTAAAGTTCTACAGTAAAAATGAAAATAATGGTAATTTAAAATATAGTAAACGTAGGCCTACACATGGCACTACTGCATTGGTAATAAAGACAAATAAACAGCTAGCAGAAAACTCTCTCGTTTTATTATTTGTTTCTTCTTCACTTCAAAGACTTGCAGTCTCCTCTATTTCATCAGCACTGTTTAATTAAGCCTTCATTTTTTCATGGTTCTGGCTGCTAGAGTGTTGCTCTAACACTTCCCACAAGTTGACGAGTACATGTCTGTAACTCCCAACTTGCCAAGCAAATAAACAAGCATGTAACGAGTCACTCCTTTGGTGAACAAATCAGCTAACTGATCATACCATACTTCAGTCTTTCCCTGATAATGTGGCAATCAATCTCTATATGTTTGGTCCTCTCATGGAAGACTGGGTTTTCAGTAATGTGAATGGCTGACTTGTTGTCATAGAAAACCTCAATTGGAAGGGGAACATTAACTCCCATTTCAAAAAGAAGACTTCTAATCCACTACAATTCACACACCAGCTGAGCTAATGCTCAATATTCTGCTTCAGAGGAGGATATGGAAACTCTAGTTCGATTTTTTGATTTCCATGTTAACCAGCATTCACCAATCATAGTATAGTATCCAGTTACTGACCTCCTTGTATTTGGACAACTTTCCTAGTCTGAATCTGAAAAATCCTTCTAGCTCTAACTTGGTTCCAGCTTTAAACAACCAGCCTTGACCTGGTGCATGCTTCAAGTATCTCAGCACTCTGCATGCAGCTTGAAGATGTTCTATGTAAGGACCCTTTCGAAATTGATAGAGTTTTTGAACTGGATAAGTCAAATCTAGCCTTATTATTGTCAGATAATGAAGTTTGCCTATGAGCCTCTTGTATAGTTCTGGATTAGGCAAAGGCTCACCTTGCTTGGCTAACAACTTTAACCTTATAATAAACTAGTGAGAGACATTCTTTGACTTCCATGTACCCCACCTCATCGAACATATCCATAAAATACTTTCTTTGATTAACAAAATCCCTCTGTGATCTCTATAAAATTCTAAGCCCAGGAAGAACTTCAACTGACCCAGGTCCTTAACTTTGAACTCTCTTCCCATATAGAGTTTTACTTATTCAACATCTCCTAAAGAACTTCCTGCAATCAAGATATCATCCACATACACCAATACAAAAAGCATCCTCCCTTGAACCCTTTTAATAAACATGGAATAATCTGCAGCAGCTTGTGAGAAACCAGTTTTCAATAGAGAAGCAGTTAGCTTGGCCAACCATTGCCTGCTAGTATGCTTTAACCCATACATGAATTTCTTTAACTTGCATACCATCCTCTTATCATGTACTGGTATCCCAGGAGGCACATTCATATAGACTTCTTCATTTAAGTCACCATGTAAAAAGGTATTAGACACATCCAAATGATGTATGTGCCAATCCTTAGAAGCAACTACTGCAGGTAGCGGTTTTATTGAGTTAATCTTAGCAACTGGTGAAAAAGTATCTAAAAATTGATACCATATATATGGGTGAATCCTTTTGCCACAACACTTGCCTTATGCCTCTCAATAGTCCCATTTGATCTGTGATTAATCTTGAATACCCATTTGGATCCAATTGGTTTAACACCTGCTGGTGGTATTACCAGATCCCAGGTTTGATTGGCTTCAAGTGCTTCTAACTCAGCAGTAATAGCATTTCTCCAACACAGCTCCTTACATGCTTCCTCGTAACTTTTTGTATCAACAGAGTTCATAACACTTACGAAATTTGTCTTGTGGGTTTGTGGTAACTGATCAAAAGACAAAACATGCTGCATAGAATACTTATTGACAGCTCCAGAAAATATAGTCTTTTTGCCAAAAAAGAAGTTGTTTAGTTCTATCAGATTTCCTTATCTCTGGGGACCGGGCTTCCTCAATCTCTTCTTGAACAAACAACTCAGGTTCATCCTCCCCATCAGAATGCACACCAGACATATCAAATAACTCAATCTCAGGACTAGAAGAGGACTCAGGAATGTCAAGAGATGGAGATGGAATAAGAAGGGGAGAATTCCGAGAAGAAGTAGAAGGTAAAGAAGAGAGAGAGGGATCGGGAGGTAGTGGTGTAGTGATAGGAAATATAGGACCAAACACAGTAACAAGGCTAGAAGAAGAGGAGGAATAAGGTTTTTTATAGGGTAAAATGTGTCCATAGAAGACCACATTGCGAGAAACAAAGAATTGGTGGGAATTCAAATTAAATAATTTGTATCCTTTGATGCTAGGTGGATAGCCAAGGAAGATGCACTACATAACACGTGGATCAAACTTAGTTCTATCTCGGAGTAGAGTAGAGTAGAG